TATTGGACAAGCCCGGTGCCCACCTCATCCTAGCACAAGGCCCAGGGCCTGTGTGGCACTGATTGGCTGACGCCTGGGTCACGTGCTCTGCTCTCCCACTGCAGCGCACACGTGGACCGCATTCCACCCCAGGGAGGGGGGGCAAAAGGGGGGCAAGGGTGGGTGTGCAGCACACGTGACCAGGGGTAGGGAGTTGTTGGAAGAATGGGAAATAGGTCCTGGGCGGGACGAAGAGCGCCCCCTCCCCCAGTTAAGGTCTCTCAGAGGGTGGTGCTCATCTGGGAGGAGAAGGGAAGGTGCCCTGTCCAGTGGGTCCAGACCCGGCAGTCCCTAAGTGCCAGGCCGGCGGCTGCTGCCCATGACAGTGCAGGGCAGTGGCTGAAGGGGCTCACAGGACAGAGGGGGCCGGGCTCTGCTTTCTGGGTAGCCCTCTCCTCCACACCCCCAGATCCCAGAAAGCCAAGTGCTGCTGATTGGCGCACCCAAGAGTGGGGATCTGGGTGAAGGGGCCTTGCTGTCACTTGGGGACAGCAGGAAAGTGACAGCAAAGAACACAGGTTGGCTAGAAGGGGACATTCTGGCAGGACTGGGGCAGCTGCAGGGGAGGAGGCACCTTTGAGAAGGGCCCCAAGAGCATCCCCTGGAACCCCAGAGACAGTGATGACTGCATGGCTGAGTTCAAATCTCAGCTCTGCTCCTCGGGAGCTGTGTGACATCAGGCAAGTTACTTAGCCCCTCTGTGCCTGAGTTTTCCCCAACCCTTCCCCGTACAGTAGTGATAAGATATGCATATAAGTTAATGTGTGGTTATTGTAAACTAATGCACACCATACTGGCATGTGGGTTACAAACACAGAGAATATCAAGACAAATGAAGAAATAGCCCCTTGGGAGGTTTCCTGTAGTCAAGGGAAGGTTTTACTTTTTTTCCCCCTCGACCGTGACTGTTTCTCAGGCAGGCAGGACACATCTTGTCTTGGGGGTGTGGACGGAAGCCCATCTGGAAGAATATCTAGGACCTTCCTGGGAACCAAGTAGGAATTGTATTTGTGCAGACTAGGGACCCAAAGCTCTCGGTGCAAGACATGGAAGCAAGAAGTGTGCACCTGGACAGGGCATCTTGGTGTGCCTGAAAGTCTTTGCCTGGGTGCTCCTTAAGGCCATGGTCCCCATGGGATCCAGCTCAGCAATACCTTGACATCACAGGCATTGGTGATGCTTGGAGCTTGATTCCTGGTCTAAAGAAGCACATCTTTTCTCTTGGGGGCATATTAATTTCCTGTGGGGGGTGTAACTGATCACTGCACACTTGGTGGCTTAAGACTTCAGAAGTATGTCCTCTCACAGTCCTGGAGGCTGGAAGTCTGAAGATAGTGCTTCACCAGAGCTCCAGGGGGAGGCCCTCCTTCCCTCGTCCAGCTCCTGGTGGCCCCAGGTGTCCCTTGGCTTGTGGCCGCAATGCTCCAGTCTCTGTGTCCGTCATCATATAGCCTTCTCCTCTGGGTGTGGTCAAGTCTCTCTCTGCCTCACTCTTATGAGGATCTTTGTGATTACATGTAGGGCCCACCTGGATAATACAAAATAATCTCCCTATTATGGATTGAATTGTGTACCCCCAAAGTTTAATGTGTTGGAGGCTTAGTCCCCTCTGTGACAGTGTTAAGAGGGTGGGAAAACCTGTTATGGTCATTGAAAGGTGGAGCCTTGAAGAGGTGATTAGGTTGGGAGGATCACGCTGTAGTGAATGGGTAATCCATTTGATGGTTTAATGGTGGTCGTGGGCATGGTTCTGAGGGCTTTAAGAGGAGGAGGGGCAAGGAGTTAGCTCTCTCCCTGCTCTGCCGTTCTGCCATGTGAGACCCCTACATCACTGTCACCACCACCAAGGCTCTCACCAGATGTGTTCCCTGGACTTTGGACTTTCCAGCCTCCGAAACTGTAAGCAATAAATACTGTTTCTTTACAAATTAGCCAGTGTCAGATATTTCTGAATGTCAGGTGTTTCAGGTGTTTCTGTTACAAGCAACAGAGACGACTCACACGCTCTGCATCTCAATTTAAATCCCATCGGCAAAGCCCCTTTTTTGCCATATAAGGTAATATTCAGAGGCTCTGGGGATTAGGGTGTGGACATCTTTTGGGGTGTCATTATTCAGCTGGCCATGGGGAAATCACTAGTGGGAGCCCTGTGGTGGTAAAATCCTCGGAGGGAGACTCTTTAGGTGCTGTGGGCAATTCTGTCCACATGCTTGAGAGAGAACAGAAGATGTGAGAGACCCTCCCAGCACGGCTCTGGGTCCCTACTTCGAAGCTGACTGATAAAGTAGGCACTGATTTACTCTGGGCCCGCGGCATTGCTTGCCTTGGTGGAAGCCACCTGCAACCAGCCCACTGGTTCAGAGCTGCCGCCACGCCCGCTCTGGTCAGTGGCGGTCACGGGCTCACGCGAATTGTTTTAGCCGCCTTTGCCGTCGGCTGGACATGCAGAGCTCAGCCTGAGCAGGAATGTCCTGCCTGCACCGGGCGCACTCATCTCTGCTCCCCCTGCTGTGTTTTCTGTGGCTTTGTGACCCTCCCTGGTTTCATTACACATCTCATTACATTAGCCCCTAGACACGAGACCCGTGTAGTCAGAGTCCAGAATTGTTCTCCGAAGACAGAAGAAGTATCCAGTCATATTGATTCAACTGAAGACTTCTACTTCAGGATACTTTTTAAAAATCTACAAAAGGTCCAATTCTAACCCCACCTTTCTTCCTGAAGTGTTTCACATACCAATGGCAGCACTGACCCTGAGGGTCCCTGGCTCCCAGTTGTTGTCTGTTTCCTAACCTAATAGGTCTAGATCCCTGTGGGGGTTTTCTGGACAATCTGGGAAGATCCCTGTACGATTCATTGCATGAGATTTGAAACCAGCCCGAGTCAATACTTTCTGGTGTTTATCCCCACTTGTCTGGCTATACTCGGGGGAGTGGTTTTAACTGTCAAAGCTAGTAGCGGTCACGTGGGCAGGGCACTGGCTACAGGAACGTGTGGAACAGGGGCCCCCGGTGCTCATGAAAACGTCCCCACTGCTCTTTCTCACATCCACCCTCCCCTCACTCTACAGAGTAAAATAAAGGCTGTGGTTATCCACAAAAACACCAACCCGACCAGTAACTGTCTTATAATAAATATATTTTAACTTCTCAACTGGAACACAGAAATGCCTTTGGGAAATACAACACACACCGTATCACTGAGATTCCGCCCACAGCCGTGCGGTGCCCGCCCCTGCCCTGGACAAGCTCCTCTGGAACCAAACAGAAGACCGGCCCCGGTGACCATGAGAATCCAGCGCCAAGCGAGCAAGTAACATAACACTCAGAAGAGGAAAGACAGAGACGACACAAGGAAAGTTGTCTTTGTTCTAGGAAAAGTCTTTTTTCCCCTTTCGGTATAGTTACTCATTTATAAAGAGGAAGTGAGTTCTGTTGAAAAATACTTGAAATACTCTCTTAGGGGGAGAAAACAATTCTTCACCAGCTTGGCCGGCTCCTGGGCGGGGAGATTTGCTCTCTGCCTGTCCTGAGCCAGCAGAGACAACTCCTCTTCAGAAGCCTGGGCTGAATGCTTGCTGCGGGGCAGAGGAGGATGCCCGTTACAGACCCCAGCACCCAGCACCTCAGCACCCCTGCCAGGGGCCTAGAGGCCCAGGGCTGGGTGTACAAGTGGGCAGGGTGGGGGCTCGCTGCTCATGTGGAGGGGAGGAGAGCTGACTGGTCTCCTGATTCCCCGGGGGGCTCTATGATGAACTTCCTTAGGGGACCCCGCCAGCTTTGGTGAGTTTTCCTCACAGTGGTGGAAGGAAAAGTCAGTCCTCAGCAGCAGGGGATGGGTGGCCCCCCACCTCCTATGTCCTTGGGGAGAAGCTAGGGGCAAAGGTGGGTCATGAGCATTCCCAGGGGATTCTGATAAAACAAAGATCTGCCAGGTACTTGGGAGGTCCCCTGTGGCTCCCAGCCCTGGGTGGACGATGCTGAGCAGAAGCAGGGCTCTGCAGACGAGGTCCCCGGCACCCCCTTCTTATGCCCCTAGGCCCCCTGCTGGAGTCAGGGAGCACTTCTCGGTTTACTTTGGGGCTGGTGAAAGCCACAATTGAGGTGCAAATGTGCAGTGCCCCACCCCAGCACTCTCCCCGCACCGCTCCTCTGTGCAGCTTGGGGACTGTCCTCGGCCATCCCAGGAATGACAGTGGCCCCTGGAGCCAGATGTCACATGGGCAGCTACCGGTTATCTTGGCAAAATGATTTCTACTTTCAGTGAGTGCGTGATCCTCGCCTCACTATCAAGACACCATGAGCCTAGAGAGGACACCTCGTGGGAAAGAGCTGCTGCCTGCTTCCCTCTGGGAACCAGGCTCAGGTGCATCCAGGCATTGACAACCCCAGGGGCTCAGGTGGACAGTGGGCAGAGCCCAGTGAGGGCCTCCCTTGGGAAAGGGGCCAGGCTCAGGGGCCAAGGAGGAAGGGATCTGTCATCCACGGCCAGAAACAGCAGGTGCCCTGGGGGCAGCCAACCCTACCTGGAGAGGAGGCAGGAGCTGCTGTGGAGCAGCACATGTCCCCTTGTCCCTGGCTGGGGCTGGCCTACCCAGAGCTACCTCTGAGCTGTGTCGCTCTTCACCGCAGAATGGCAGCCCTGTGAATGAGGGTCCTGCAGGGCCAGGAGCCAACCAGGGCGGAAGGAGCTTGCCCTGCACCTGCCCTGCCTCCACTCTGCCGGCCCTCACCTGACTGAAGTTGGGGAGAGGCACACAGGACAGTGGATGGCCTTCAAGGCCCTGGAAATCCCAGCGGTGGCCAGGAGAGGGGCACCCAGCCAGCACCGTGCCTTGGCAGGCACCAGGCTGTAATATCAGGTTGCAGCTGTGAACCAGAAGAGTGCTGGCACTGGGGGGGGTGAGTGGGAAGAAGTTTCCAGAAACTCACTCCCAGGCAGGAGGAGACATGACTTACCTGTCCCAGAAGGTGGGTGTGGAATGCAAAAGCTGGGACAGGGGCACAACTGAGAGAGCAAGGGCCAGCTGCCCCCGGAGCATGCAAGGAGTGCAGTGGCCTGAGGGGCTGTGGGTGTGGTTGGGGGCTTCAAGGAGACAATGTTCTTGAGTGAGAATGTTCAGGAGAATGTTCCAGCAGCAGAGGAGGGGTGCGTGTTTGAGGAACTGAGAACCAAGAGAAGTGCATGGGGGGCGTGAGTGTGATTGGGTGTGATAGTCATGTGTGAGCGTGAGTGTGGTGAGCAACCGCGTGGGAGTGTGGGCGAGCATGCGTGGGCAGGTGGATGTGTGCAGAGCAGGGGGCTCTGAAGGATGGGGAGTCCATGTAGAGGGAACAATCTCAAGAATGAGGCTGAACCAGGTCCAGGCAGACCAGATGCAGCCCCATCCTGGGTGCAGTCTGCCTGGGCTTGGCTCCACTAGAAACCCCCATTTCCTTGGTGAACCCGATGCTGAGTCCCTATGCATCCCAGCCAAGTGTGCCTAGGAAATACCTCTTCACAGCTGGGATGTTGCTCCACACACGCACAGCGCTCTGGGGGGCTGTCCCGCAGACGTCCTGGATGGTCACTGGCTCTGTCTGGCAGGGGGAAGAGGAGGTTCACTGTGGATCAGCAGGACCCAGGCTACACCCCACGGGGCCCACAGGTTTTGGCCACTGTCTGGCCTTGCAGGTGATTACCAGACTTTTTAGACTGACCACATCTCCTAAGTGGCAGTGATTACATGTCCCCTAGAAATCCCCTCATGAAAAGAAAAGCTGACATACTATTTTAAACCTTTTAACCAGTAGATTTTTTTTTTTTTTATTCCACAGTTCATGCAGCTCAGCTATTCCCCACTCACAGCATTGCACCCTGCTGCATGGAGGTGGATTCCCGCTAGATATAAACAAGTCTTTGGTCTTTGAGAGTCAGGTGATGCTTTGTTTCAGGGAAAGGCGAGGCTATGGTGGCAGAGATTAGGACTTCCTAAAGCGCAAACGCTTCACCATGCTTGTCAGGAGCCAAGTGGGCTGCCTCTAATTCTGACATCTCAGTCTTCCTAGAAGCCCCGGAAGGAAAGGAGAGAATGGGAGGAAGAAGAGGGATCTTCCCTGCTGGGAAGGGAGCTGGGCAAGGAGCCTCCTCCCATATCAGACACCTCACTGGGGAAGAAACCCCTGGAGGGAGAGACCGACCAGAGACTCACAAGCACATATACCATCTAGCCCAGAGCCGAAAGACACAGCACCTACACTGGTTACTTTTACATTTTTTTCCACCATCCACAGGAATGAGGTTCCACAGCAAGATGAGAGGTTACAAAAAAATACAAGAAGTTTCCTTTTATACCTACTTCTGATTTGTGACTAATTAATTTTGACTTACCAGACTTGTGCACAAAACAATCAAAAGTCAGTGTATGTGCTGTTCTCCAAGTTTGCCGATGTTTAGTGCCAGGTTTAGAAACTGTGCTTTTTCAGTTATACCCATAATTGCTCATTAATAGATTTTTTGACAAACAGTGCAATTTACAAACCTGACCCCAGCTGCTGTTTTGTAGAATGCCAGATTTCCTAATAAGGAGAAATAACCACAGAAATAGAAGTAAAAATAAAAATCATGAGGCCACTTTGCTCAACGCTATGAAAATAATTTTTAAAACTTTAATTAAATGGATTATATTCTAGAAAAAACATAACTTAACCAAAACTGACCCAGAAAAGATAGAAAATCTTAATAGATCAGTTTCCGTGGAAGAGCTACTTCCATTTAAAACAACAGCTACAACAACCAATTCACAGAATTCTGTCAATTTTTCAAATATTTCTAGGAAATAAGTTTAACATTGATATCAAAACCTGACAAAGTTTGCACAAAACAAGAAAACTACCAGCCTCTTTTGTGCTTGCCATCGCAAAAATCCTGAATGAACTGCTATTCAGCAGAATTTAGCAATCATTAAAAAATAATACACCATGACCAGGTGGGCTTTTCCCAGGAAAGCAAGTATGGTTTATTACTAGGAGACCCACTAGTATATCATATTCTATTAATAGACCTAAAAAGGAAAATCATCTATTATCTCCACAAACATTTAAAAGAACATTCGACAAAATCCAACAACTATTCTTGATAAAAATGCTCAGAAAAATAGCAATCAATGGAAACTTCTGGAACCTTCCTTAACAGAGTGAAATGTAACTACCTCAGCTTCCAAGCCAGCACCAGCTTAAAAGAGAAACTGGAAACATCAAAGTCAGAAACAGGGATGTCCCTTGTCACCACTGTGATTCTACACTGTCCTAGAGGTACTAACACCAAATGAGACAATAAAAAAATATTTGAGGTATCCTGTTAGAACAAAAAAACTATCACGATTTGCCAATGATCTGATCAAATATGTAGAAAGTCTAACTGAACTGAGTGAAAACTACCACAACCCATAAGGTAATCCAGTAAGGTGGCAGGAGCAAAGTTAACATATAGAAACCAACAGTTTCATGCACACAAGCCAAAGCCAGTTAGACGCTAACACGAACAATCCCTTAGCACAGGAGGAAGACAGAAAGGTAAGACATCAGAATGAATGTAACAAGGGCTGTGCCAGAGAGCTCGGGCATCCGCTGGTGGGATGCGGGCGGGACAGCCCCTGCAGAGGGCGATTGGGCAACATCTGTGAAAATCACAAACGCATCTGCAAGGGCTGTGCCAGAGAGCTCGGGCATCCGCTGGTGGGATGCAGGCGGGACAGCCCCTGCAGAGGGCGATTGGGCAACATCTGTGAAAATCACAAACGCATCTGCCCTTTGACCCAGAAACCTCACTTCTGGAATTTATCCCACAGATATTCCCACACACAGTCCTTCGCTGTAGCATGGTTGGGAAGAGAAAAAGTTTAGAAGCGACCAATCGTCCACCAGCAGGAAAGAGGCTAAGCACATTTTTCATGTTCGCCAAAGGAAAACTCTGCACAAAATCAAACAAAACAAAACACACAAACAAATTAAAACAAAGAATGAGAGAAGCACTTTGCAACGGGGGGATTTCCAAGGTAACTGTTAAGTAAGCGCGAGCATGGTGCCCAGCCGCAGAGGCTCGGAGCTGTCCCTGTTTGTGAAGAACCCTGAGAGCGCCACCCCAGTGACAGCAGGGCACTGGCGAGGGGTGGGTGGGGAGGCAAGGAGACTTTTACCACCCACTGCGAAACATTTTCAGAAAGTGTGAACCACACAATTGTGGGGGACGCCGTGCAGGGACGGGCACCAGGCCGGCCAGGAGCTGTCCCGTGAGGTTCAAAATCCTTTATTCTGAGTTCACGCTCTGGTGCCTCAACATCCTTCTCTTGCCCTGTGAACATGCCTTGATAGGAACCCAGCCCTGGACGCTGGCTCCCTGATCCAAGCCGCCCAGGAGCTCCCAGGCCCGATGCCCTCGCCCGCCGCACCCCTGCCCACAGCCCCAGCCGCAGAATTGGTCACTGAGCCCGAAGGGGCAGCTCTGACAGGATTCAGAGGCCGGGAGAAGCCAAGCTGTCGGTGCTCCAGAGGGCATGTTTGTGAGGGTGTGAGAGTGTACACCTGTGCACATACACGTGTGAGGGTGGGAGTGTTGCGTTTCTGTAGCATGTGAACATGTGTGAGCGTGTGTGATGTCCAGTGTGTGTGTATGTTGTGAGTGTGACTGTATGGTGTGTGCATGTGCGTGTGCATCTGTGTGTGGTGCCTGTGTGTAAGTGTGTATGCATGTGTGTGCCTGTGTGTACTGTGGTGTGTGTGACTGTGTGTGTATTGTAGTGTGTGGGTGTAGTGTGCGTGTGGTGCCTTGTGTAAGTGACTGTGTGTGTAGTGTGTGTGTGTGTGTGTGATGCCTGTGTGTAAGCACCTGTATGCGTGTGTGTATTGTGAGCTGTGTGTACACGTGTGCAGACTAAGAGGGCAGGGCAGGAGAAGGAGGTAACCCCAGGTGGCCGTGTTCGGAGAGCACAGGAGTGGCATGAAGTAGAATCACCCTCCCAGGCCGTCCCTGAAGGGGCCCAGTCCCAAGAGGCCGCAGTCCCCGCCTCGGTTGCACAGTGGCCCTCATGGGCTCCATGCATACCTGGACACCAGGGAGCCGTGAATCCCCAAGCCTGGGGTGTAAGCTGAGCCCCTCCCCAAGAGTCCCAGAGTGTCCCATGGGGATGGCGTGGGTCAGAGGGAGCCTCCCCGGCCCTGCACGCACCTCCAGGAAGCGAGAAGCCACAGCCCGGTCTTCTTCGGCCAGCAGCAGACTGTCCACAAACATCCAGAAGAAGGGCTGCTGGCTGCCCTGCCTGGGTCGCGCGTACTGCAGGAGGCGGTGGAACTGGAACACGTACCAGCCTGGGGCAGGAGGGCCGTTCGGGCGTGTGGGAGCCAGGGGCATGAGGGCAGGGCTGAGGGGCCCACAGGGATAGGCAGGGGGGCAGGGGCCGGCCTGGGTGTGGGGCGTCCATCTGCCCCCATTGCAGTCTGCCCTGCCAGCAGCAGCAGAGCCAGGGAGGGCACAAGGCTCCTTGTGCCAGGGCCAAAGGGACTGCCCAGGTGAAGCCTGGCACTGCCAGACGGTATTGTCAGTGATGCCTTTAGGTCAGACCCCAGGGGGTACAAACGCTCTGTAGCGACAGGAGCACATGGTGACTGCTTGGGGGCTGGGGGATTAGAGAGCGGCAGGAGGAAGCCTTTGGGGGTGATGGCGTTTTTGCTCTGTTGATTGTGGTGATGGGCTCTGAGGTGTATATTTGTCTCAAAACTCACCAAATTGTACACATTGAGTATGTGCAATTTATCGTAGGTCAGTGACACCTTGATAAAGCTGCTCTTAAAAAACGTAATTTGTAGTTTCTGCCCTGCCTGAGGGGGTCAGGGTGGCATGGAGAAGGTGGGGAGAGAGAGAGGAGACAGAGCTGGGGACAAGATGCGGGTCTTTGAGCTGACCACAGTCCATTTCTCGAAGTGTCGCTTACCAGGAGGACGGTCACAGGCATGGCCAAGGGGAGGCGTCGAGCCGTACAGGAGGTCAAATGGGCCCCATTCTATTTGTGGGTTGTGACATCACTTGCTGTGTCAGGAAATCCACTGTGCAGTGGAGCTGAAATGTCCTGTCACGCTACAGCAAGCGGAGAACAGCCTTAGAGGGTTCCTGCAGCCCTGCCCCACATTTGTGGGTTGTGACATCACTTGCTGTGTCAGGAAATCCACTGTGCAGTGGAGCTGACATGTCCTGTCACGCTACAGCAAGCGGAGAACAGCCTTAGAGGGTTCCTGCAGCCCTGCCCCAGCAGGGGACCTGGGGCAAGCTGTGCCCTGGCCGAGCATCTGGGGTGATGCTGATCACGGCCACACTTGGCTGTTGTGACAATAGTAGGGAGTACTCAGCACACTCCACGTGGAAAAGTGGGACGTGGCCAGAGGCTGGGGAGTGTCTTCACAGATTCTGCATCTGCTGGGCCTGAACGACAGGGTGGGACTCCGGAGGCTCCAGCAGCTGGAGGTCAGCGCAGCCGGAGGGGCACGGCACAGGCAGGGCTGCAGCCCGTTGGGTGCTGGCCTGGCACGGCTGGGAGGTTTAGCTGGAGGCGGAGGAGGGTGCGGGAGCCCTGGGGCCCTGGGGAGGTCTGAGGAGGTGTCCTTGTGGGCAGGGCGTGGTGGGTCTACCTTCTGCTGCTCCCCTCACTGGTGGCATTTCACACCCCGCCCCCATCCTGCCACTTGTGTGCTTTCCCTTTCAAGGCCCCCTGGTGGGGTTGAACCGAAGCTGCTGCAGCGCCCCCCCAGTCACGCCCACGCCCCCTCCCCGTGCCTCCCCTTCCTGTGCCAGCCCCTCCTCAGCTGCATCTGCTGTTTGCTCATCCCTGTGGGTTGTTATAGCTGCATCTCTGTGGCTGCTGATTTCCCTCTAAGGGTCCACCGTCCTCCCATCTCGGAGAGGTCCACTCAGAACAGGGACATGCTGGATCTTTTTATCCCCCACCCCACAGATGCTCAGTGAGTGCTACACCCCAAGCATTTCGGGGACCCCCTCGCCTCCTGGGCCCTAACCCTGTGGGCCTGGCTCTAGGCAGACCCATCTTCCTTGTGACATCACCACACTCACCTTTCTTGATGTCCCCAAAAAGGGACAGCACCCGCACCGGCTCTCTTTTCCACACGGGCACGGTTTTGTACATCTCAAGGGGACTCTCCTGTTCAGGATAAAAAATAAAAAGACATTGAGCCAGCTGCTTGGTTATAGACTCCATGAGTTACAATTAAAATCCTTCCTGGTGCAGCAGGATGAACAGAGCCACACCTGAGCCACACCTGAACTACACCTGAGACTCACCTAGACAGACCTGAGACACACCTGCCGAGGCCCACTGGCTCTGTCCTGACCAGCACTGTCCGCCCATGAAGTCTGACTCCACTGTCTCCCCAGGCCTCAGTCTCCTGCCCTGACACCCAACCAGCTCTAGCAAAGGGGAGCGGGGTGTGAGGGGTTGTCCTGATTTTAAAAGAGAATAATATCATCCCAGCAGGAAACACTAATGTAATTCTGAGCTTCCAGGTCTTTCATCTAGAAATTTCTGACTATGCACTGTGGCACAGAAGCATCTAAACCCAGTTGGTCATGCTGGTTGGAGGACGACAATTTGTCCTCCCAGCCCTCCCCTTCCAGGGTTAGTTCATTTGTAAGACAAGCACCTCCGAAGCCCCCCACTCTCCACAGGAGGTTACCTTGGGGGTACCTGGCCTAGGGCAAACACAGGACCACCAGGGCAGGGACCAGGCCTAAACAGGGGCGGCTGCCTGCATGGGGGACTTGATGGAGACCCTGAGCCACAGTGGAAGATGGGACAGGGCACCCAGCTCAGGCAATGAGCCTGAGGGATCGGGGAAGGGTAGGTGGTCTGAGCTGCCCTTGGAGGAGGTGGGGGAGGTGATGTGGGAAGGAACAGGTTTCCAACCTGCCCTGACTCCATTCAGAAGCCTGTGTAGGGGCAGCTCAAGTGGCTGCTGTGGACACTGTGAGGAAGGCAGGACTCAGGGATGCAGTCCTTGTCCCCCGTGTGGCAGCAGAGCTAGATGCAAAGTCAGTGGCCTCTTCCCCTCCCTGGCTCCCGTCACTGGGCTGGCATTTAAGGACATTTCTGAGTGTCACCTAATTTTCTCTTGAAGTGAGAGCCCTCCTGTAGCCTTTGAGCACAGGAGTCTCTATCACCCCCAGACAGGAGGTTTCTACCTTACATGTGCCTGAAAGAGGGCCCCGCAAGGCAGCTGTGTAGAGCTGTCAGCTGTGTAGAGCTGTCAGCTGTGTAGAGCTGTCGGCTGTGAGCGCATCCACTGTCAAGAAGACTCTGTTGGACGTCGTATGCCCCCCAACATGAACATGTGTGTGGACACAGCAACACACTACAGATGGGGTCTGTGGAATCTGGTCTCAGTTGGGACAGGGGAGAATTTGTCCCTTGCCTGTCTCCCAGCATCTAAAGCTGGCTGCTGGCAACCCCTGGCACTTGTGAGCCTGCAGACACATCTCTTCAACCTCTGCCTCCATTGTCATGTAGCCTTCTCCCTGGGTGTTTCTGTCTCCCAAATCTCCCCCTCCTTTCTCTTGTAAGGACACCAACCATCACATTTAGGGCTCACTCTAAATCCAGAATGATCTCATCTTAAGATCCTAACAATTTCACCTGCAAATCCCCTATTTCCAAATAAGGTCACACTCGCGGGTTACCAGGTTTAGGACTTGGACATATCTTTTTGGAGAACACATTCAACTCACTGTACCCCTAATGAGCTCGCAGGCTCTGGTTGGCTCACCAGCTCCTGGTCTTGACCCTCGAGAGGTCTAGCATCTGGGCTGCTGCCCTGACTGGACCAGGAGACACAGCATCAGCCCACGCGTTGTCCCACATGCTGAGGACAGCCAGCCAGCCTCTCCTGTGCTCCCCGCCTACTTGCCTCATCCCCAGGTTTATAAGAAACAGAATCACCATGCTCAAAGTAATCTCTAAAAATTAGACCATCTATCAAAATTAGACCTGCTATCAAAGAGGAAAACAAGAGAGGCTTGTGAAAACTTTTAACGTCATCACATGTGGACTGAGCAGGCATTTCACAGCCAGGAACCAGAGGGGAAATAAAGTCCAAGGCCCACACGATGCGCCACTGTGTCCCCGCTGGGCACCCCTACCGACTCGCGGTCGTAGAAGGCCTTCAGCCGGCCCCGCCACTTCTTCCTCCTCTGCAGCAGCCCGCTGCGGGAGAAAGGCAGGCACAGGAAGCACACCCAGTTACTCATGGCCTGAACTTTCTCCGACGTCCCAGGGCTGACCAGGGTATCGACACACTCGAAACAGTAGCATCTAGAGTCAAACAGAAAACCACAGTGACTGAAATGACATTCCTTCTGCCACTGTGGAAACCTCGGTTGGCTGACGAGGCAGAGCCTGGCCTGTGCCTTGCTTTGCAGTGAATGAAAAAATCATACCTGGGCTCATTTGAAATGATGGATGTGCCCAGTCCCTCTCCACACTGCATGGGGAGGCTGTGGGCTGGGCGAGGGGGACCCCTTGCCTCTTAGGAACTCAGAGCAACCACAGCTGCTTGTATGGGCAGTGATAAATTTCAAAGAATCCCCGAAGCCACAGTTTAAGGACTCCCAGCAAAACCAAATGCAGGAGTGAAGGCTGGTGAGCAGGAGGGAGAATGGGGGTCGGGGGTGGTGGCTATAAATACAAGGACGGCCCAGGAGGACCAGAAGGGGAGGGGACTGTGGACGAAGCTCAGGTTGGTGAGCGATGACCAAGGGATGAACATGCCCCTTGCCCTCCCCGATCAGGACCAGCAGCCCCAGGGTTCAGGGTCTCCATCGCTCCACACATAACGATTGGGGGAACAGCTATGTCTTGGCAACAATAATGCTGAAAAGAAAAGTCACACGTGCAAACCTTTTGACACCGTACTCCCATATGTGGAGGCTCTATGTCAGATGAGATACTTGAGACAGAGACTGGCAGCTTTGGAGGAAGTCATTCTTTTGTGGGGAGAACCCCCACACTCTGGGACGAGCAGCCGAGGAGGAGGGTGTTTCCTAGGCTCATAGGCTGTGGCTCCTTGGCCCCCCGACCCCCACCACCTCCTCGGTGGCCCCTGCCTCACCGTGTGCAGTCAGGGTTTTCGCAGATGAGCAGCGTCTCCCCTGAGCAGCAGATGGAGCAGTAGGATTGGTATCCGTCCTCGTCATACAGAAAGAGCGTGTACAGGAATTTGTCCTGGGCAAGGAGCAAAGCAAGGCGAGTTTCCATCCTCCCTGCTCCAGGGTCATGGACGGAGCTATGCCTCGCTCCCTGCTCACCTTACATGGAATGCACATCCCTCCCTCAAACAGAGGGTGCTGTGTATGGACCTGGAAACTTCCACAGCAGAGGCAGATGTCTAAAGGGAACATGCAAAGTGCAATGGGTTTTATGGTACCATTGGACAGAGTAAAAGACCTAGGGGTAAATTTAACCAAAAAAAGTGCCAGATCTGTACAGTGAAAACTGCAAAACAGTGTTGAAAGAAATTGAAGATGATCTAATTAATGGACAGATATTCCATGTTGATGGACGAGAAGACTTAATACAGTTAAATTAGCAGGACTCCCCAAATGGATCTACAAATCCCTCTCAAAATTCCAGCTGATGCTAAGATTCATATGGAAATGTAAGGGACCCAGTAGAGACAAATCCACAGAGAAAGAAAACATTATTGGCTGCCTGGTGTTGAAAGAGGGGTGGCAGGAGAGGGAGAAATTCAGAGCAACTGTTAATGGCTATGGGTTTTCTTTCATACGTGCTGAAAATGCTCTAAGATTGTAATGATGGTTGAAAAACTCTGTAAATATACTAAGAAACACCTGAACTGCACACTTTACATTGAAGCCTCAGGGGCCTTGGGGTGGGTTGAGGGGATACAAACGGGCCNAGGTGGGGAGAGAGAGAGGAGACAGAGCTGGGGACAAGATGCGGGTCTTTGAGCTGACCACAGTCCATTTCTCGAAGTGTCGCTTACCAGGAGGACGGTCACAGGCATGGCCAAGGGGAGGCGTCGAGCCGTACAGGAGGTCAAATGGGCCCCATTCCTCCACCTACAGGACAGGGCACACTGGGGAACATTCTTGCTTTAACAGGTGGGCCGTGAGCACGGAGAGGCACAGGCTCCTCCCTGGCGGTCAGTGGACAAGAGGGCAGAAGACATCTCATGTCTCACTGCGGGCTAGGTGACGTGGCTGACCTGGCCCTCAGGGACAAACTTGGCGCCCAGAAGTCTGGTCATCTGAGAAGTCTCCGTATCTGAGATCCTTTCTCTGTGCTAAGCACCTCCCTTACAGTCAATCCTGGAAGATCAACTCATGGACTCCCCAAGGACATAAGTGATTTTGTGTCATCTGGAAACACACAAGGCAGGCCCAGACAGCCGGCAGCTGGGAGCTCACAGCGAGGCATAACGTTTCCCACTGAACATAAAATACCCCTAGCATATGGACGCCCGGACAATGTCACCCCAAGGCCCAGCTGGACGAAGGCAAGACAAGGATGCTCTTCAACCACAGAAAGACCCAAGCCGGGTCAATGTGAGGGACACCAGCTTCATGAACAGTGTGACAATGCCAGCCCTGTGTCAATCTCTGTAAATAAAAATTAATGAGATACGCAGATATTGGATCCCCGCTTTCTGACAGCACCCAATCCAGAATGAACCCTTGCGTCCTTGGACCCTCCCCAAATCACTCTACAACACTTGACTCCAATATCAAGCCCCCAAACTCCCGCTGGTTCCCCTATATGCTCCCCTGTGTCGCAGCAAGGAAGTCAGCCTGGCTGGATTTGAGCACAGGTGTGCTCCCGGGCATCGTTGGGCACTGGGCTCCACCCCTGGGAAAAAGTACAGCAGGGGGTTTCTGGGCAGAGCAAGGAGAGTGGGCCGGTGGTACCAGACTTGTGTGCCCCCAACACTCTGTGTGCAGGAGTTGTTTGCTAGCATTGGAAGGGAACAGACCGGCACACCCTGTTGACGGAAGAGCAGAGGTCGATGCCCGATGCCCAAGCAGAGGCAGGACTGCCCGGCTGGAAGAGGAGCATTGCTAGGATTGCACTGTTTTGCTGCCGTGGTTAGAGAGTATTTCGAACAGTCAGCAATTGTTCAGCCAAGCTCAGCATCTCTGTTTTGGAGGGTGGGGGAGGCCACCCCCACCCCTGCTGAGCAGACCCATCCAAGGTGGTGGACATGGGCCACTTAGCTTTCAAGATGTCGGGCAAGTTGTTTGGCCAACCACATTGCTCTGGACTGAGCAGCGCAGGGACCATGGAAATGTGCCACTCAGGTCTCCCACTGCAGGGGAATCACAGCCAGTGGCCGTGCTGGCATGGGCTGATTCTTGCCAGACCCAGGACCCCCTGGCCTGGCCCAGAGGCTCTCAGAATCGGACTGTACCGGGCCACTCCCCCAGCCCTTTGGCCTCCTTGTCCTGTGCAGCATGTCCCCAGGACTCTCGCACACACACTGTACTTCTTTCCTCATCTCAGCACTGAGAGAATACAGCGGTACTCACATCCCTCCTGACTATGTCTGTGACGTCCTCCAAATGCCTCAGTCTCCCTGGGTCAGAACCATTTTCCAAGAAGCCCAGACTCGTCAACTCTGGAGGAGAAACAAGGACACAGGAGGGCCAGTGCTGATTTTGTCCCTGCACGAGACTGTCCCATCACGAAGGAGCAAACTGTCCCTTCAATGATATGACAGAACTAAAGACAGAGATTTCTGTCTCATGAGGAGCTAGACAAGCAAACTTCACCAAGTATTGGTTTAAGAAATCAAGCAATTCGTTGCAAAACCAGGCATTTGTGGGTTGTGACATCACTTGCTGTGTCAGGAAATCCACTGTGCAGTGGAGCTGACATGTCCTGTCACGCTACAGCAAGCGGAGAACAGCCTTAGAGGGTTCCTGCAGCCCTGCCCCAGCAGGGGACCTGGGGCAAGCTGTGCCCTGGCCGAGCATCTGGGGTGATGCTGATCACGGCCACACTTGGCTGTTGTGACAATAGTAGGGAGTACTCAGCACACTCCACGTGGAAAAGTGGGACGTGGCCAGAGGCTGGGGAGTGTCTTCACAGATTCTGCATCTGCTGGGCCTGAACGACAGGGTGGGACTCCGGAGGCTCCAGCAGCTGGAGGTCAGCGCAGCCGGAGGGGCACGGCACAGGCAGGGCTGCAGCCCGTTGGGTGCTGGCCTGGCACGGCTGGGAGGTTTAGCTGGAGGCGGAGGAGGGTGCGGGAGCCCTGGGGCCCTGGGGAGGTCTGAGGAGGTGTCCTTGTGGGCAGGGCGTGGTGGGTCTACCTTCTGCTGCTCCCCTCACTGGTGGCATTTCACACCCCGCCCCCATCCTGCCACTTGTGTGCTTTCCCTTTCAAGGCCCCCTGGTGGGGTTGAACCGAAGCTGCTGCAGCGCCCCCCCAGTCACGCCCACGCCCCCTCCCCGTGCCTCCCCTTCCTGTGCCAGCCCCTCCTCAGCTGCATCTGCTGTTTGCTCATCCCTGTGGGTTGTTATAGCTGCATCTCTGTGGCTGCTGATTTCCCTCTAAGGGTCCACCGTCCTCCCATCTCGGAGAGGTCCACTCAGAACAGGGACATGCTGGATCTTTTTATCCCCCACCCCACAGATGCTCAGTGAGTGCTACACCCCAAGCATTTCGGGGACCCCCTCGCCTCCTGGGCCCTAACCCTGTGGGCCTGGCTCTAGGCAGACCCATCTTCCTTGTGACATCACCACACTCACCTTTCTTGATGTCCCCAAAAAGGGACAGCACCCGCACCGGCTCTCTTTTCCACACGGGCACGGTTTTGTACATCTCAAGGGGACTCTCCTGTTCAGGATAAAAAATAAAAAGACATTGAGCCAGCTGCTTGGTTATAGACTCCATGAGTTACAATTAAAATCCTTCCTGGTGCAGCAGGATGAACAGAGCCACACCTGAGCCACACCTGAACTACACCTGAGACTCACCTAGACAGACCTGAGACACACCTGCCGAGGCCCACTGGCTCTGTCCTGACCAGCACTGTCCGCCCATGAAGTCTGACTCCACTGTCTCCCCAGGCCTCAGTCTCCTGCCCTGACACCCAACCAGCTCTAGCAAAGGGGAGCGGGGTGTGAGGGGTTGTCCTGATTTTAAAAGAGAATAATATCATCCCAGCAGGAAACACTAATGTAATTCTGAGCTTCCAGGTCTTTCATCTAGAAATTTCTGACTATGCACTGTGGCACAGAAGCATCTAAACCCAGTTGGTCATGCTGGTTGGAGGACGACAATTTGTCCTCCCAGCCCTCCCCTTCCAGGGTTAGTTCATTTGTAAGACAAGCACCTCCGAAGCCCCCCACTCTCCACAGGAGGTTACCTTGGGGGTACCTGGCCTAGGGCAAACACAGGACCACCAGGGCAGGGACCAGGCCTAAACAGGGGCGGCTGCCTGCATGGGGGACTTGATGGAGACCCTGAGCCACAGTGGAAGCAGATGGGACAGGGCACCCAGCTCAGGCAATGAGCCTGAGGGATCGGGGAAGGGTAGGTGGTCTGAGCTGCCCTTGGAGGAGGTGGGGGAGGTGATGTGGGAAGGAACAGGTTTCCAACCTGCCCTGACTCCATTCAGAAGCCTGTGTAGGGGCAGCTCAAGTGGCTGCTGTGGACACTGTGAGGAAGGCAGGACTCAGGGATGCAGTCCTTGTCCCCCGTGTGGCAGCAGAGCTAGATGCAAAGTCAGTGGCCTCTTCCCCTCCCTGGCTCCCGTCACTGGGCTGGCATTTAAGGACATTTCTGAGTGTCACCTAATTTTCTCTTGAAGTGAGAGCCCTCCTGTAGCCTTTGAGCACAGGAGTCTCTATCACCCCCAGACAGGAGGTTTCTACCTTACATGTGCCTGAAAGAGGGCCCCGCAAGGCAGCTGTGTAGAGCTGTCAGCTGTGTAGAGCTGTCGGCTGTGTAGAGCTGTCGGCTGTGAGCGCATCCACTGTCAAGAAGACTCTGTTGGACGTCGTATGCCCCCCAACATGAACATGTGTGTGGACACAGCAACACACTACAGATGGGGTCTGTGGAATCTGGTCTCAGTTGGGACAGGGGAGAATTTGTCCCTTGCCTGTCTCCCAGCATCTAAAGCTGGCTGCTGGCAACCCCTGGCACTTGTGAGCCTGCAGACACATCTCTTCAACCTCTGCCTCCATTGTCATGTAGCCTTCTCCCTGGGTGTTTCTGTCTCCCAAATCTCCCCCTCCTTTCTCTTGTAAGGACACCAACCATCACATTTAGGGCTCACTCTAAATCCAGAATGATCTCATCTTAAGATCCTAACAATTTCACCTGCAAATCCCCTATTTCCAAATAAGGTCACACTCGCGGGTTACCAGGTTTAGGACTTGGACATATCTTTTTGGAGAACACATTCAACTCACTGTACCCCTAATGAGCTCGCAGGCTCTGGTTGGCTCACCAGCTCCTGGTCTTGACCCTCGAGAGGTCTAGCATCTGGGCTGCTGCCCTGACTGGACCAGGAGACACAGCATCAGCCCACGCGTTGTCCCACATGCTGAGGACAGCCAGCCAGCCTCTCCTGTGCTCCCCGCCTACTTGCCTCATCCCCAGGTTTATAAGAAACAGAATCACCATGCTCAAAGTAATCTCTAAAAATTAGACCATCTATCAAAATTAGACCTGCTATCAAAGAGGAAAACAAGAGAGGCTTGTGAAAACTTTTAACGTCATCACATGTGGACTGAGCAGGCATTTCACAGCCAGGAACCAGAGGGGAAATAAAGTCCAAGGCCCACACGATGCGCCACCGTGTCCCCGCTGGGCACCCCTACCGACTCGCGGTCGTAGAAGGCCTTCAGCCGGCCCCGCCACTTCTTCCTCCTCTGCAGCAGCCCGCTGCGGGAGAAAGGCAGGCACAGGAAGCACACCCAGTTACTCATGGCCTGAACTTTCTCCGACGTCCCAGGGCTGACCAGGGTATCGACACACTCGAAACAGTAGCATCTAGAGTCAAACAGAAAACCACAGTGACTGAAATGACATTCCTTCTGCCACTGTGGAAACCTCGGTTGGCTGACGAGGCAGAGCCTGGCCTGTGCCTTGCTTTGCAGTGAATGAAAAAATCATACCTGGGCTCATTTGAAATGATGGATGTGCCCAGTCCCTCTCCACACTGCATGGGGAGGCTGTGGGCTGGGCGAGGGGGACCCCTTGCCTCTTAGGAACTCAGAGCAACCACAGCTGCTTGTATGGGCAGTGATAAATTTCAAAGAATCCCCGAAGCCACAGTTTAAGGACTCCCAGCAAAACCAAATGCAGGAGTGAAGGCTGGTGAGCAGGAGGGAGAATGGGGGTCGGGGGTGGTGGCTATAAATACAAGGACGGCCCAGGAGGACCAGAAGGGGAGGGGACTGTGGACGAAGCTCAGGTTGGTGAGCGATGACCAAGGGATGAACATGCCCCTTGCCCTCCCCGATCAGGACCAGCAGCCCCAGGGTTCAGGGTCTCCATCGCTCCACACATAACGATTGGGGGAACAGCTATGTCTTGGCAACAATAATGCTGAAAAGAAAAGTCACACGTGCAAACCTTTTGACACCGTACTCCCATATGTGGAGGCTCTATGTCAGATGAGATACTTGAGACAGAGACTGGCAGCTTTGGAGGAAGTCATTCTTTTGTGGGGAGAACCCCCACACTCTGGGACGAGCAGCCGAGGAGGAGGGTGTTTCCTAGGCTCATAGGCTGTGGCTCCTTGGCCCCCCGACCCCCACCACCTCCTTGGTGGCCCCTGCCTCACCGTGTGCAGTCAGGGTTTTCGCAGATGAGCAGCGTCTCCCCTGAGCAGCAGATGGAGCAGTAGGATTGGTATCCGTCCTCGTCATACAGAAAGAGCGTGTACAGGAATTTGTCCTGGGCAAGGAGCAAAGCAAGGCGAGTTTCCATCCTCCCTGCTCCAGGGTCATGGACGGAGCTATGCCTCGCTCCCTGCTCACCTTACATGGAATGCACATCCCTCCCTCAAACAGAGGGTGCTGTGTATGGACCTGGAAACTTCCACAGCAGAGGCAGATGTCTAAAGGGAACATGCAAAGTGCAATGGGTTTTATGGTACCATTGGACAGAGTAAAAGACCTAGGGGTAAATTTAACCAAAAAAAGTGCCAGATCTGTACAGTGAAAACTGCAAAACAGTGTTGAAAGAAATTGAAGATGATCTAATTAATGGACAGATATTTCATGTTGATGGACGAGAAGACTTAATACAGTTAAATTAGCAGGACTCCCCAAATGGATCTACAAATCCCTCTCAAAATTCCAGCTGATGCTAAGATTCATATGGAAATGTAAGGGACCCAGTAGAGACAAATCCACAGAGAAAGAAAACATTATTGGCTGCCTGGTGTTGAAAGAGGGGTGGCAGGAGAGGGAGAAATTCAGAGCAACTGTTAATGGCTATGGGTTTTCTTTCATACGTGCTGAAAATGCTCTAAGATTGTAATGATGGTTGAAAAACTCTGTAAATATACTAAGAAACACCTGAACTGCACACTTTACATTGAAGCCTCAGGGGCCTTGGGGTGGGTTGAGGGGATACAAACGGGCCCCAGCGGCCTCCTTCCAGGACGACTGCAGGGGCTGTAGCAAGCCTTTCTCTAGCCGGCTCTGGTCATGGGCACGTCGGCACATGCTCACCTTCTAGACTGCGCTGGTTAACCTTGACTTCGTAGGCGATGAGATCTGGAAAAGAGAATAAGACATAGCTGCTTCCTTCTTCATCCTGGCTCCTGATTTAAATACGGCCATGAAGGAGCGTCACAGATCTACGTTCTGAAGTCACAGGAGCCTAAGCACACCCCCCGACCTACTTCCCCTGTATCCTGGCGTGTTAAACATGGAGCCTGGGGGAGCTCTGGGGGGGGCCCCTCCTGCCCCCGCCCAGGATGTCCGAATGGCCTGTGAATGTTCCAGAGGCCTGGAACCCCAGACGTCGCCCAGACCTGGGGTCAGCATCCGAAGTGATGGGTCCCACAAGTGGATGAGCCCTCACCTCTGCCCAGCTGGGGCGAAACGGGGGACGATGGCTTACTGGGGCCCACCAGGATCACATCCATGCTGTGCTCCGAATCCAGGTCCAGGACTTGGGCAGCCACCACAGGGACACCAGGACACAGGACATGCACACGCAGAAGGGAGAAGCCATCAGCCTCTGCTCAGAGCCCCTGATGTGCCCCAGCATGGGGGACTGAGCAGACCCTGCCCAGCTGGGCCTCACTGCTCCCATGGTGACACCCACCCCTCCGAAGCAGGGATCAAGGGGCAGGAAGAGCTGTGGTGAACGCCAGCCTTGACAGGGGCTCGTGGGTTCCTGGGGCGTGCCCCTTGCTCCCCCAGCCCCTGCCACATGGGGTCCGGGTCGAGTGGGTCACTCCGTGCCACAAAGGAGAGGGTGGGGGCCTCACGTCACACCGAGACCAACATCCCCTGCAGCCCCTGCCTTGGACCCCTCAGGACCTCCATGCTCCTGACTTCTAGTGTCCCCCATACCGTAGCCAAGAACCCCCCGCGGACGGTCTCTGCCTGGCCACACCCTCACAGGCAGGGCGGTGGGGGAAAAGAGAAGGGCCCCACCAGTTCCACAGGGCAGCCACCTCTGCTCCTCGTCCATGTGGCCAGCTGGGTCAGGGTCCAAGCTGTCCAGGGTCTCCAGGCTCAGGGTTCTTGGGGAGGAGAGGGCTGTGGAACCAGGGACAGCACCTCCCAGAAACTGGCCGAAAACTGTCTGGCTGGAAGGACCCAGGTCCAGCAGGGGAGGTGGACGCAGAGGAGAACTAGCTGAGTAGGCGTAGGGCTGTGCGTGACTGGTGGGAGGCGCGAGGGCGGGGAGACGCTCGGTGGGGGCGG